GCAGAGCGGGGTCGGCGGATAATTTCTGCACAAGCTCGCAAAGGCCATCTCCACGCCTCTATCTTGCCGACTGGATCAACTGGGATCACGTGGCCTGGCGGCGAAGCTTCTGTTGCAGTACCTCCGGGTTTCTACGAATTTTGGCAGTCTTCGCGGTTTGGATCCTAACATGTCGGGCTCACGAAAAGGAGTAAGCCAGTCTTGCCCAGTTGGCAGAGCAGAAGGTTGAGGGTGTGCGAGCGTGCCTGCGTTGGGAAGGAAAGGCCCAGCGTATTATATTGTACTGTAGCTAACTATCAAACCAATCTGGTAGATAAGGCAAGCAGGCAGGTGTTTCGTGATATACCTATCTAGACTACACTGGGGGTCAGGCAAAGGCTCTACCTTGGTAAGCACAAGGTAGTGCACACGGACCTGTGCTCCGGCACAGCTGTCACGATGCTGGGATGTTTCTCAGGATGAGGTCCTCCTGCATACCCTGAAAAACAATCACCCTGATCCTAAGAACTCCCACGAAAGACTTTTGTATTGGTTTTGCCCAAGCCGTCTGTGGCATCCCGGCTTCAGAAATCAATGCGACCGGGCCTGGTTTAGCTGCACAAGCACACAGGGCATTTGAGCGATCCTCTCCAACAGTACCCTAACTATGCCCAAAAATTAGACTTACTGGTGCTTCAGGGAGAGTGTCATGTTGAATTTGCCTAGGAATTCTGATATACGTAATGTGAGCCCTAAAAGAAGAAATGCCCATGCTGATTCCCCCTTTCCCCTTGAAGCATCAGCCGGTTCAGGATGGCTCCAAGGTGAAATAGCAGCAGTACTTACCTACTTCCTCTTAGATGGGAATGGGATCACCATGGGGATCCTTGTAGGGCTTCGTTCCGCCCATCTCCACGCAAACAGGAGTATCAAGCCTCCCAAGGCCGCGATTCCTGCCGCGTCATCGTTGACACAGACAAAGGCAGGTGTAGATTCCGAGTCTGGACATGGCCGAGTTTGGATTCGTGCCGTGGCCTTGGCATTCGAAGGTGCAGTTGCGGGCAGTCAGTGCGGCGGAGCAAGATCCTTTCAGTGTTTTTATGTGTAGGCTTCCTCCGTTGATCTCAATTGACTTCTACACGGTTAACACAGATTAGCTGATCTTTGATTGAGGCAGATTACCCGTTTTTTTTTGACAAGCCGTGGCTTCGACTTGCTGGTGAGCAGCGTAGACTGGATGGAATCAGCCTGCACAGCTGCAAAGACGGCTATCGGCCCTAAATGGGGCTAGCTACGCACGTGCTGTGGCTGTTGCGTTAGCTGCACAATGCTGCACCCGAACTATGTTGTGGAGATATGATCCCATGCAATGCTACGGATTGCGATTGTTGGCTGGCATGGTGCTACTGCTGACGCTGGGCGCCATCCTTGGCAGCTGGTTTGCAATCTCGTCATGAGGACGGTATATGCAGTGTAAGGCCTGCGACAGCTATGCCAAGCTTTTCCGGCTACCATGGAATGAAAACACTAGTGGCCTATGTGTGGATAGACACCAACCGCCATTGCTTCAGGTCATGGAAGCCTCCAGACTCATATCGGTTCCAGGATCCATAAGGCAACTTGAGGACGTAGTGTGAAGTTTGAGCAGGGTCATCAAGTTGCACCAAAGCCACCTGAGATGGCATCAGTATCTAAGCTTAACTACGAAACAGGGACACTACCTCCACAAGACCCGTGCAATGAACATGAATCTTGGTATTCTTTCGTTTGTAACTGGTTAGCTTTTGGAGGGTTCTTTTGGATCTCTATAAGTGCCGCAGCTGTTGCAGGAGCGATCTGTTTATCTTTGCCCCAGGCAGCCTTTCGGTAGTAAGGCTGGTGAGGTTTTGGACGGGACCTACCCTTTTGTTGGTCTAGCCGGATGCTTGCAGGCTTTGCTATTTTGCACATTTCGTCTACGTACGGTATGTTTAGGGGCTTTTTTGCCGACCTTTTTCTAGGAGCTGCATGAACTCTGTTGAAGTTTTTGTGTTCCAGGTAAGAGACAAAGACCTGAACTTTTTACCTTTTCAGGAGGACGATGTTGATACCGCAGCTTGAGGCTTAAGAGTTGTAATGGGTTTGAAATGATGATTTGAATAGGTTTGAGTTCAGAATTGTTTTGCCGCAGCGGTAAAAGTCTAAGTCCTAAACAGTTGGTACTGCGAATGCACCTGAACCCTAACCCTACACCCTAAGCACCAAAGCCTGCGCCCCTGACGGACCTCGTAAGTGTAGCCGAAATCCCTCACCTCAAGATCCTAAACCCTAAACCCTCAAGGTCCTAAACCCTGAACCCAAAAAACTCAAGATCCTAAACCCTAAACCCTCAAGATCCTAAACCCCAGACTTAAACAAACCTTAAATCCTAAACCCTAAACAAACCCTAAACCCTAAACCCAGGTCCAGCCCTGAGCCATAAGCCGCAAGACGGCTTTTCTGCGAGCTTTTTTTCCCCACCTTCCTCCGGCCGCAGCCATGGATTCGGGGGTGTCTCAAGATCTTCTTGCCTCGGCCCGAGTTCAGACTCATGTGAGTAATATGGTATCTTAATTAGCGATGCTATAGCCGTAACCACGAGATAGAGTAAGACTTTAGTCTCGACCGGCTTGGAAGATGTCTAAAGAAGCGTGTAAGCTAATTTCCTCCGACTACCCAACTAACGCCACCTCATACGCTCTAAGAACTACTCAAAGGTTTTGGGCTAACTTTGGCAGATGTGGCAGGATCTCTAAATGGAATTTTACCCTCCTGAACAATAGCCTTGTATTTTTGGTGTTTCCAGGTACATCAAGGTACCCTGTATCATTTTTCCTGTAGCCGTGCCTTGTCTTCAGGCGATGGGCTGGCTGCCTTGCTAGATCGACAATTTATGTTTCGCTTAATTAAGCGGAGTTCCATGTGGTGCTCGACATTGTGGTGTTGCTTTGAACTCCAACCCAAGTCCCCGAGCTCTCACTCCCGAACACGGACCTCATCTAATGGAGAAGCCTGAAGAAGTACCAATAGTATCCCGTTACAGTTTGTTCACTTTTGTACAACGTGCCCGCATCATATTCCGGAAGCCCCAATCCTTTAACCCTGTACACCTCTCTCCCATGCTCAGTCTGAACCTCGAAAACTTCCTCTCAAGCAAGGTACACTGAAAAAGCCCTCTGCCTCCAAACCAGAACCCCTGAGCCTGAATCCATGTGCAGCTTCTAAACTCCTTTAAGGGGGGTTATATACAGGGCTATCTAGAGAGGTTATGAAGGGAGATACTGGAAGTTTAGATCATAGCTCATGTGCAGCTGAGGCCCTGAGCACATGCTTGGACTCCACCCGGGCTGCGGGCAACTGAGCAAGGGCAGGACTGGTGGATCAGGGTTTGGCGTTGAGGCTTTGCATTTCACGCTTGGTATATGATTTTTTCTCAAGAATGTGGGCCTATTCCCGATGCTCTTGATCTCTCTTAACAGGACGATGCTGGATCTTTTTTTTTCAAATGCGGGCCCTTACATACCTTGGAAATGTCTAGAGCTTCCCTAATCCCTAAACCCCTAAACCCCTAAACCTTAAGCCGTAAGCCCTTAACCCTAAGCCCTAAATTGTAACCTAAGCCCTAAACCCTAAACCTTAAAGCTTCCCTGCTGTTCCAAGGCCACGGAGGTGGGTCAGCAGCTGCGGATGTTTGCTGCGCAGCGGGGCGGCGGTAGGCCGGGGAGCCTTCTTCTGCCGGGGCGGGGGTTTACATTACAGATGT